CCACCTCCTTGCCTTATAAGTGACGCGGTGGCTAAGCCTTCCACCTGACCCCACACATCTGGCCACCAGTCCTAGACCACAAGCGATCCCTGGGATGGGGCAGGCCCTAGGAAGAAGAGGGGACACTCAGACCAGTTATCCTTAGGAAGAGCCCTCTACTGCCTGAACCAGTTCTGACTCATAGTGACCCTGTATAGGGTTTCCAAGGAGTGGCTGGTGGGTTTGAACTGCCAACCTTGTGGTTAGCAGTCCAGTGCTGATCTACAGTGCCACACCAGGACTACAAGAAGCGTTGTTGCCATCGATATCAAGTCGGTTCTGACTCATAGCAACCCTGTAGAGGGTTTCTGAGTTGCAGCTGATGGGTTTGAACTGCTCTTTTAATTTTACTGCTGGCCCATGACTTCCCTCTGTGTCCCTGTGTTGTCTGTGGACTGTGCACTCCCTGAGTCAGGGACCACAACTCCTGCTTCCCTGAGACCCCCACAGCACCTGACACAGTGTCTGGCATCCCTCAGAGGACACTTGAGCCTCACTCAAACCTTCCTCCATTCTGGACTCCTGGAAGCAACTGGTAGTTCCACTTGACACTTATACCGTCGAGGTTCTTGAATGTCAAGATTACACTTCATCTCACAGTTCACCTCACAGCCAAATGGAAGCCCCATTTTACAGATGGAGAAATTGAGGCTCAGAAAAGTTGAGCTAATTGCTCAAGGTTACTGAGCTAGCAAGAAATGGAGATGCGATTCAAACCCAGGAATGGGAATCCCCAGACACCTTATCATGGGGGCAGTACCCTCCCAGAGTCCCCTGCAGGGACTCAGCCCTCCTTCCCGCACCTAACAGTCTCTCCTTGACCCCCAAATCAGTGAGGGACCTCAGGGCCGAGTGCAACTACAAGGAGCCAGAAGGTGGAATGAGGTGCTGACATGGGCCGGGGGCCAGTGCCGGGTGTTTGTTGCCTGTACCATCGACCCACACAGCCCACTGTTTATCTGTCTTCCTGACACACCTAATTACCCAGGTTGCAGCTGCCAGAGCGTTTGCTCTTCCTAAATCACAGGCTCCCATTCCTCCTGTCGCCCAGGCCTCTGGGCCTCTGCCTGCCGAAGGACTGCCATTGATTTTGCCGTTCCTATTTATGATCTACAAGGCTCTGCACCGCTGTTGCGCATTTTACCTTAATTAGCTTATTCTTCTGGGCAGCCCTGGGCAGCTCGGGAGCCAGGAGGCTAGAGGTCAGCAGCACACCATGCTCTAACCCCTCTGGTCAACAAACCCAGAGCCTGACAGCAACGTCCCTCCCTAGAACCGTGCTAAGAGGTGATCTGTCAAAAGGAGTTCCATGGTCAAGTCATTTAGGAAAGGCTGGGCTGAATGAAATTGTTATTCATTGTCACCAAATTGAGTCCGACTCGAAGTGACCTCAGGTGTGCAGAGTATAACTGATCACAGAGTTTTCAAGGCTGGCCTTTCAGAAACAGATTGCCAGACTTCTCTTCCAAGATCCTTTCGGGTGGGTTCAAACTGCCAAACTTTTGGCAAATGCTTAGTTGTTTGCATCACCCAGGGACTAAAAAAAATTAAGCAGGTGATTTATTGCAAGATGCTTTTAATAGACTAATATCCATTGAGGATCTCTGAGAGAAAGAAAGTGTATGAATTGTTTCCCAAACTCAGATGATGGCAGAATCGTTGCTCATGGAGAACAGGGTTCCACAGAACACACTTTGGGAAATGCTGCCCTGGGTGGGCAGGAGGAATTGGCAGTGATGAAGCCAGCAGAGAGGGGTAGAGTCACCTGGGCCCATTTCCATCTCTTGTCTAGACTTGTCAGGGACTCGGGGACTTTCAAAATCATCCCTGTGGAATCTAAAATCCCAAGGGGGCCCACCAGAGCTCTGTAGAAAGCTGGGGAAAGAGCCTCCCTGCCCTGCATTGGTGGAGCCTAACCAAGGTCTTCTTAACCCATTCAGGACTGATGGTTTTCAGCTTTGAATTTTTTGTTGATACCATGTGTTTTCAGAAATGGAAGACAGGCTGAAATCCTGGGGAAACTTTTTTGAGGTAGTACAGATTTTGGTTACAATGATGTGGGACACATAGGTCCCAAGTAGACTCTGGTGGTAGAATTGGTGGAGCGAGGTCTAGTTCTTCAGAGTCACACAGGTCTCCACCAGGTGGCAGCATATACAACTGGGTTAGCAGCTTCCCAAGAAACCAGAGAGGCTGAAAATGTAGGTGGGTGATATATGTCCCAGGGATCACAAAAGGATTAAGAAAGGGACTAAGTTACTTTGGTGCCAAATTTTAAAAGCCCTGATTTGACAGAAGGGTAAGGGTCTGTGTTGGTGAAGGCCACAGGTCTGGATGCGTGTGGGGGTGTGGACTGCCCTCAGAGACCCTCCAGGCACCAGGAAGCAATGACAGAGCTGACGTTACCCTCGGATCATAGCAGCCACCGGGAACAAGCGTGGTGATAGAGGCCCCTTCTCTGCAGTCCTGAAATCCAAAAGGCTGTCCAAGCCTCAGATGCCTTTTTTTAAGTTTGTGGGAAACTCAATTGATAGCAAACCTGTCCTGAGCTGACGTGAGCTATTTATAGGCCTTATTTATACCACCTCATGTGAATATTCATGTTTCACTGCAGAAATATTAATGTGTTTAATTACGGGGTGCTGCCCCCAGTCCCTGCTGGGGGTGTTATGTAATAAATGGTGTATGCACTGTGCTACCTTTCTAAACTATGAAGGGAAAAAACAATCTAAATCTCTAAACACAACTGGCCTCAGAGAGTTCAGAGGAGGGCTTCAGGCAGGGGGCACCAAGCCAACTTGGGAGGCAGCCCTAGGGCCTGACCTTTGACCTGCTTCACATGCATCTTCTCACACAACACTGGGAGGGGGCCCAGCAGTTATCCTCAGCTCTCAGATGAGGAGAGCAAGGCTCAAGGAGGGTCAATGGCCCTGGGAGGCCACATATAGCTAACTAGAGTCAGATCTGGAACCTGAGCTTGGCCATGTGAGTAGGCCCTGCTCTGACCCAGGGGGAGCCGTCTTCGCCTTTCCTCTACAGCAGCTCCATGGAATCCACTCCTTGGGGGTCTGAAGGCAAAACTCCACCTGCAGGTCCCTCTCGTCCCAAGAAAGGTCTTTCCCTCCTAGCTAGGGCCTTTGCTATCCCAGGAGCTTCAAGCAGGGACAGCATGTGTTTAGTGTCTGGCAAACATCCCTGTGGCCAACTCCAGGCCCACAAAAACACCCCTGCCCAGAGGGTCCCCTGTCTCAAGAGGACCCACATGATCAAGCTCCTCACAGACCCTTTTGTTTTCTCCTGGGTGGAGCACTTTTTGTTTCGTTTGTACACTACCCTCACCTTTACACATTCACTTTCTCACACACCTTCTCACTTGTATACGTACTCAGTCTTACTCTCACTGACACACACTTAAACACACACACTAACACACATGTGCTCATTCAGTCGGACACACTCACCTTCACACACTCATTCCCACATATTTAAACCCACACACTAACCCTCATTCATACTCTCCTCAAATACTCATTTCACAATATTCTTCACACAAACACACACTCTTATTCACACATAAACTCCACATGCGTGCACCCTCTACACGCTTTCACTCACTATCTCACACACACAGAACCACTAACTCACCAAACCCTTGTGGTGCCGCGCTCATGTCTCTAAAGAAACCTTAGCGAGTATCTCATCTACAAAATGGGAATGATCACTCCTGTCTATTAATAGCTGCCACTTTTGCAGACTTAACATGTGCTTGGTACTGCGCTAACTCTGTAAAGTACAGCATCTCATTTATTTCTCACAGGAAATTGGAATGTGGTTATTATCATCCCCATTTAAAAAACAAAACAAAACTGAAACCCTGAGACGCTAAGCAATTTGCCCAACATCAAAACAACTGGACCCTAGCACTAGAATCTAGGTAGGACCTAAATTGTAACTCATTTTTGTTTTATTCTAAACTCTGAGTCTTTAACCACTTTGCTGTGTTGTCTGCCTTCAGTTTAAACCAACTGTGTCTTCCCTGGCCCAGCAGAGACTCAAGTTCAGAAGTTCTGTTCCCCTCCATGTGTGTCCTCTGGCAGGCTTTGACAGTGGGGCCCTCCTAAGATAGAATGTTCTGGATCTCGAGTTAACCAGAAGTACAATAAGGGGAGCGCTCTGCCTTAGCAGCCTCTTGGAAGGGCTTGAGGTGTGTCAGTAATTCTTCCCTGTTTGTCCAGAACAAGACTTCTTAGCCATAGATGAGCTTCAGAAGGCTTTGGCCCTCAAACATTTAGATGTTATATGGCGCAAATGTGCAACTTCCTGAGCTGAGGCATCCTTAGCTTCCACCCGACTCCCAGAGGATCACTCATCCAAAAGCGGTTGAGACCTGAGAGCAGGGACCCCTAGGGCTGCCCGAATCCCTCATCATGCTCCAGACAAAACCACCCCTCACTCCTGCTGCTGCTTGTCCCCCGGGGATGGAGGTGACACACCTGTCAGAGTGCAATATCCAGCCTTTCCTTGGCCTGGACTTAAGAGACCTACTTGTGAACCAGGACCATTTCTTCTGAGACCTACATCAGGCCCTGCGGTCCAGCAGAGCATTTACGGGGAAAAGAGTTGAGTCTGGGGGCTGAAATACTGGTGATCCCAAGATTCTGAGTAGTGTTTGATTTTGAATTTCAGCTGTTGAGGGTCATCCCAGAAATGATAGCAGTTGTATTTCTCCCCTACTTCCTGAGGCCAGGATAGATAGGCCACTTTGCTAAGTGAAGACATTTCAGTACCCCAAAAAGAAGTTCCACCTGGTCTTAAGATCTTTCTTGTAGCAGATGACTGTCCACCTCTGGGGCCAACCGCAAAGCCAACCGCCTCATGACAGGTACCACAGGACATAGCCAGATGTCAGACATGTATCCTGACCCCCAATCCACCAGTTCTCCCTTTCCTCCTCTCTCCAGGAGTGGCCACATACACTGACAAGCTATTCAAGTTCCGCAACAACCGGTGGGAAGACGTCCTGAGTGACAAGGTCAACGTGGCGCGTGGCGTGGCCAGCCTCTTTGCCGGACGCTCTGTGGCCTGTGTGGATAGGATGGTGAGTGTGTGGGGGGGTTGGAGGCGGGGGTGCCTGGGGAGAAGTGGATAGCATGCAGTGTTATGACAGCCGGGCGAGGAGCCACCGAGCAGATGGCCACTGCAAGGCAGGACATACCCACCAAGGACAGACTTGAAGGCTGATTGTCTGGGCAGCTCCCACTGTGTCCTACACATGTGTGTGTGTTATGTACCATGGAGTCGGTTCCGACTCATAGCAACCCTGCACAGGGTTTCCGAAGTGCTAAATCCTAACAGGAAGAGCTACAATCTACCAAGCCCTTGCATGTGTTTCCTTCTGTGAGACCCTTCCAGCAACAGTGAGGAAGCAGGCCTGGTGTTGTCATCATTGTGCCCACTGCACAGATGAGGAGACTGAGCACAGCTTGAACAGTGACTTGCCTGAGAACCCAAAATGGCTTAGTGGTGTCCCTAGGACATGAATCAGAATTTTCTAGCTCTAGTCCTGTGCTCATTCTTTCACGTTTTCAACTAAGTGCTACTCCTGGTGTGGCGCTGTAGGACAAGCACTGAACTGCGAACTGCAAGGTTGGCAATTCAAACCTACCAGCTGCTCCTTGGAAAACCTGTAGAGGGTTGCTATGGGTCGGAACTGACTCGGTGGCTTGGGCTGATAACCACAGCTTCAAATCCACCAATTGTTCCAAGGGAGAAAGGTGAGGTTGTCTGCTTCCATAAAGATTTACAGTCTTGGAAACCTTACACAGGGTCACTATGAGTTGAAATCAACTCGATGGCCATTGTTTTAGGGTTTGGATGTTCCCGGTGTTAAACCATGGTGCCTGTTTATGGAACTAATGAAAGCGGGACAAAGGGCATGGGTGGACAATGGCCGGATCGTATCACATCATCGATGTTTCCTGCTCTACTAGACTACCTGTCACTAAAGTGCTCCACCAAAGTGGAGGGCTGGGGGGAAAGCAGGAGGAAGTCTGAGGTGGGGACAGCCTCCCGGCTTCATCTCAGCAGGCCCAGCCAGAGCTAGGAAGGCTTGTTGGGGAGGTAATTTGTCCCTCCTGTCGCCTGCGTCCCATGTCTGGGGCTTCATAAACAGTCAGCACTAAATCAGGGTCCCAGATGCTACTCCACATCCCAGGGAGCATCTCTGGGCCCTATTCTGGGGGCAAGGGCAAGGGGGCCAGCTCACTTTGGAATTGAGATAGCACTGAGGGGATTGGGGATTCAGCGCGAATCTTCACAGCAGGGGCCTCCAGGTCTTCGGTGCAGGCAGGTGCCAGGTATAAATATTTATTTCTTAACAAGCTGGTGCTGGGAAGAGGAGCCAAGCTGGGCTGTGAAGCCACATTTAGCCTTGACCTGAATCTATGCCACCTGGACTTTTGCCTGGTGGGAGGGTACGGGGAGGCAGCTGTGAACAGCCCCAGAGAGCAGCGTGTGCTATGTTGGGGTCAGCTAGGCCTAGGTCATGGTTGGGGGTCTCTCGCTATCCCCTTCCAACTTCTTGACTCACTTGTTCTGGACGAAGACTTCCTAACCTCAGCTCAGGTGAGAGCTGGTAGGAGGTACGTGAAAGTTAATCAAAAGGAGACCTGCAAGGTCACACGCACACCCACGTACTCAACCACAGGACAAAGGTACCATGGGAAATGCAAAACACACACACACATGCAAAAAAACAAAAGGCACTTTGGCACCACTGCCCAGTAGGCAGGCACTTAGTGGCTTGCTCTCTCTAGCCCAATCCCAGACCTTATTAGTCTCCCAAGCCTCAGAGAAGCGCTGTCCTCCTACTGCCAGGAGAAGACTAGCTTTCTGAGGCTAGCCACCATTTGGCCATCCCTAGGACCTGAGAATTGTGGAGGGAACGGGGAATATGAGGATGAAGCTGGAGAGGTTGAGGCCAGTCTGGAAGCTGAGAGATAGGAATGCCTTGTGGTGGAGGAAAAGACAAGAACAACAGGAACACAATAACCATGTACACTTTTTAACCTAACAACACACCACGCACTGTGCTAAGTGGTTTACTATTACTATTGCTATCCCCATTCTACAGATGTGGAAATTAAGGCTTTGAGCAGTTCATAAGCAACTTGACCTTGGTCATGGTAATAAGTGGTAGGCAAAGCCAGGACTTGATCCCAGCCTGCCTGAAAATGAAGCCGGTACCTTTTACCGTTTTGCTACCCTGCCTCTGGGTGAAACAGGATCAGGCAGAGTTCACTGCACTGGTCAGCAGTTGTCCAAGCGTGGTCTCTAGACTGGAATCAGCAGCATTGTCAGAAATGCAAATTCTCAGGCTCCATTCTAGACCCACTGAGTCAGAACGATCGGAATGGGATCCAGCAATCTGCATTTTAACAAAGCCCTACAGGTACTTCAGATGCACCTAAAGTTTGAAAGCCATTGCCCCAGTAAATGTCTCTGTTCCGCCCCACCCATGTGCTGTTCCCCTGTCTTCCCTTCTGCCCATTCATCCTCGGCCCGAAACCTGGAACACCTGCCTGCCCTTTATCTTCAACTACATCATCACTCACACATCTTTCTGGTTGCAGCTCAAAGCCAATCTCTTACAAGAAGCATCTCCTGGTTAATAATGATTATACCTCATGTTTATATAACATATTTCTGTCTTCAAAGACCTTTCACATACACTATTTCATTTCCTCTTCTCAACAACCCTACCAGGAAGCAAGCAGGACATGATCCCTATTTAACACGTGAAGAAATACAACCTGGAAAGACTGAGGAACCTGCCGAAGAACAGAGCCAAGTAGTGGCAGAGTCTGGTCTGACACCCACACTAATATCCCCAGTGGTCAAAGGACCAGCCGCACCAGCATCATCTGGGGTGAGTCTCAGGACCCACCCTAAATGTGTTGTTGTTAGGTGCCATCAAGTCAGTACCGACTCATAGCGACCCTGTGCACAACAGAATGAAACACTGCCTTGCCCTGGGCCAACCTCAATGAACTTGAGCCCACTGATGCTACCACTTTGCCAATCCATCTTGCTGGGGGGTCTTCCTCTTTTTCTCTGACCCTCCACCTTACCAAACATGATATCCTTCTCCAGCAACTGGTCCCTCCTGATAATATGTCCGAAGTATGAGAGATGAAGTTTGGCCATCCTGGCCTCCAAGGAGCACTCTGGATGCACTTCTTCCAACACAGATCTGTTGGTTCTTTTGGCAGCCCATGGCACTTTCAATATTCTCCTCCAACACCATAACTCAAAAGCATCAATTCTTCTATGGTCTTCCTTATTCACTGGCCAGCTTTCGCTTGCATATGACCCTAGACCTACTGACGCAGAAACTCCGGAGGTGGGGCCTAGCATCTGTGTTTTAACAAGCCCTCTAGATGAGTCACATGGGCACTAAAGTGTGAGAACTACTACCCTGGCCCCAAAGCTACAGAACCATCTCCCTTCTCCTGGAACCACCTCACCTTCCCAGAATTATTGTGGTTTAAGCCCACATGTGAATATCTGCAGTCTTCTACAGCTGCAACACACTATGTCAGTTCTATCACCCCAATAAATTAAAGGAAGGAACAAGATATGAAGGGATTTTATAAATATCCTAATTCCTAGCAGAGTGCATTTCAGCCCATTTGGGCTTAATTGCCCCTTTGTTGATGAGATTGCTAACAGCTGGTAGGGTCAGACATGCTTCCAGCAATGGCACACCTTCCGCTTTTACCCCATTCACTCACTCTTCAGCCAATCTTTCCACGCACATATACTGAGTCCATGGTAGTGATGGGCAAGAATCTTGCAAAGTAACCCCCTCGTTAAGAAGCCATGTTGTAAAGCACTGCTTCTCAAACTTTAATTTTACTGAGGAATCACCTAGGGACTTCTTGTTAAAAATGCAGGTTATGACTCAGTAACTCTGGAGTGGGGCCTGCGATTCTGTGTTTCTAACATTCTCCCAGGAAGCACGAACACTGCTGGTCTATGGCTTTGAGTGAAGCCCAGGTTCCCAGGTAGCAGGTAGTCTCAGAGAAACAAAAGCACAGGGGTGTAGAAGGCCTTAGAGGACAGCTCTGTGGCCTCCTCCAGCTTCATCCCTGGACTCTCCCCTCCTTACACGTTACCTTCGATCAAAGCTGAATAGACCGCTTGTTGTTGTTAGCCACCATCCAACTGGCCACTGACTTAGGGCAACCCCATGCCCAATGGGATTGGATTATTGTGATCCACCAATTTTCACTGGCTGATGCTTACATCACCAGATGTTTCTTTCTAGGCTCACAGGGTGCACTGACTGGAAACCCAATGCTTCTTTCTTGTGAGACAAGAGTTCTACCACTGCCTTTCTTTGACTTTCTGCCTGGAGTGTTCTTTCCCTCTACGTCACCTGTCTGCGACTTCTCTTGGAAAACAGTGTGTGAACTTGCCATGGTTAGGAGCTCTCTCCTGTGCACCTGGATGTCCTGTTTGTATTGTCTGCCACATTATTGTACAGCTCCTGGGGAGTCTGCAAACCCCAGGAAGTTCTGCACTCCTCTTTCTTGACCTCACCCTCCATACAGATGGACTCAATAAGCCAAGTTAGGACCCATTGCCTTCTAGTCAATTTTGGTTCTTAGCAACCCTACAGGACAAGAGTAGAACTGCTCCATGGGGTTAACAGGGCGGCAGCCTCTATGGAGGCAGATTGCCACATCTTTCTCCTGCAGAGTGGCTCTTGGATTCCAACTGCCAATAACCTCTCGGTTAGCAGGTGAGCACTTACCCACTGCACCACCAGGGCTCCTTTGACAGGAACAAGGCAGTCAGTGACCATTTGGGTGGGATAAAGATTCCACTCCTGGGACCACTGGATAAGAAACAGAAGCAAACACAGAGGACCAAAGGTGAGAGGTGGTGGAGCACACTTGTCTCTTGAGCTCAACTATGCCTCTTGCATCATTGTGTATTCTAGTAGCATAGTGGTTACAAAGTGGGCTGCGAACCTCAAGGTCAGCAGTTTGAAACTACCAGCTGTTTCGCAGGAGAAAGATAAGGCTTTCTGCTCCCATAAAGATTTACAGCCTCGGAAACCCTGTACAGTGTCGTTATGAGTCGGAACCCACTCCATGGCACACAGCCACCACCACCAGGCAATAAGCAACCTAGACACCAGGGATTCTATGTTATGTGCATTTATAGCAGATTGCCTTACACATAGTCGGAGCTCAAGTAATAGTGACTATCTGCTTAATTGGAAGGAAGTGACTAGAAAGATGAGAAGAGAGAGAAGAAACAGATTAGAAATGGAGTGGATCTCCTGGGAAGAGGAGGCACCCTTGAAGCAATAGCACCATTATGATAACAGGAAAAGATGACTTTTCATCGGCCGTGTTTTGGACTCGAGATGAGAAGGACTACAGCAGAGAGGAGCTGGTGCCCTGGGCTTCTCCCGGATGCAAAGAAAAACAGTGGCACAAAGGCACAAGCAATATAATGTTTATTTCTGGTGCTAAGGGTGTGCAGGGGCGAAGGAGAAGCCCTTTGAACCTGTGCCTTGTGTGCTTCTGAAGTAGAGGAATCAAGATTAGGCTGGAAAGAAGGGGTGGCTCTGGAATCTGCTTGTCATCTTGGCTGGAGTGAGCTTGAATGGGAGACAGAGACGGAGAATAATGGGAATTGATAGATCAATCAATCAGCAAATATTTATTGAGCAGCTATCCTGGCTGGCAGCTGGAGAGAGCTCAGCTGGCGGGAAGCACATTAGAAAATTGTCTATAAAAAAGGTGGTGTGGGGCGAGGGGGGGGCGGTGTTCTGGAACAGGATAGAAGGAGAGGCAGGGCTGCTTTGTTGTAGGACTCCAGGGGGCATCATTTACGTTGTAGACTTGTTGAAGTACCTCTGGAATTGTGCAAGGCCGCATGCACAAGCCTGGGAGAAGAACCCAACCCCTGAAAGAACTTTGGACCTGAAGCAGGAGGGGGAGACCAGGATGGGTCAATGGGGAGCTGGCTCACCCACCTCCTTCCCTTCCTCCTCAGGGCTCCGGACGTTACTCAATCTACATCGCCAATTATGCCTACGGTAACGTTGGCCCCGATGCCCTTGTTGAGATGGACCCTGAAGCCAGTATCCTTTCCCGGGGCATTCTGGCCCTCAGAGATGTGGCTGCTGAGGCCGGGGTCAGCAAATACACAGGTATGCATAGTCATGCGGGAGCTGTGCGGTGAAGAGACCTTGCACACCCAAGGAGCTGGTGGGTTGTGTCCCAAGGGAAGGGAGCTGGAAGGTGCTCTTCCCTCCCCTCATCCAAAGGCTTCTCCAATGCTGCCAGGTGTGGCCTTGGGGTCTGCTGGAAAATGAGAAGCGAGTACCACATCACCATCGTCTCCCTATAACCTCTTGCCATTTTCCCACTGCAACCCATATGGCTCCATAGGAGAGAACTGACAAATAACAAAAGCTGAGATTTAAAGCATTCTTTATTGCCAAACAGCAGATGAAATTATTTACTTACACATAAATGGCCAGGAATCGAGTGCTAAATCCATCCCTAAAGCTTCAGCTGGGTCCCGTCTCGGATAACTGAGCTCAAAGAATTGTGTTCGTGTTCTAAAACCTCTCCAGCACTTTTTTTTTTTCTTTCTAAAGGCACACTCCACCCCCCACCCCCCACCCCACCCCCGCATCTTTCTGGATTGGGGACCTATTGTCAGAGTCTCTGACAGGGAGATCTTTCTAGGGACGGCTGTTTTTCTGATTTCAGCACGGCTGCTGACTAAACTTTGATAATCTGCCAATAAGCTGCTGATGGTCAGGCACTCTGGTTCCTGTTCAGTGTGCCAAAAATCAGTAAGCTGGGACCTGTACAACGATTTCTCAAGTGAACCTCGGCCTAACTCATGACCCACCTCCACTTCAGACAGATTAATCCTCTTGTAGGTTGACCTTCCCAGTGTATCTACTCCAACTCGTACTGTAGACTTCTTAACAGACTTCTTCGGGTTGGAAAGATACGTGAGGGGTCATTTGAACCATTCCTCTGCCACCAGACACCTGGGTGGTGACATATTGTCAAAGTCCTACCCAGAACAGTCACCACCTCCCCTGAGTTTATGATGCCTTTTTCAAGCCAACTTTCCACCTTGGTGAAGGGAGAAGATTAATACTGACCTGTCTGACAAAGTTTGTGGGGACAAATGACTAGACAGTAAAATAGTTTGCACAGCTCAAGCCCCATCAAAAAGCTCGAGAGCTCGGCGCATGGATGTCCAGCAGAAAGGCTGAGTGTCGGTAATAAAGCATGTTTCCCTGGAAAAAGGAATAAACATGCAAGAGCTTCAGCCTAGATTTGTACAGTCAATTTGTCTGAATAGTTCCCAGTCCTGTGCACGGAGCTGGCTTGGCAATTAAGTGCCTTGATCTGCAGGAAAGTTGGGGTGGGCTGGTAGTAAGGTGGGGGGATGAAGCACTTGAAAATGATGAAATGGACTGGCAAGGGCTGGCGAGAGGGTTGTCCACAGAATAAAGGAATTCAGAAGGTGGCGGCTGGGTTTGAGCAGGAAGGGGGCATTGTTCCTGCTGGCTGGGCTGGTACAGGACCAAGAAGATGACTATGAGGAGACAACTGAGGAGCAAGGATGGAGGCGGAGGTACCAGCCAACTGGGCTGGGCTGGAAGGACGGGGCAGCTCAAGAACAGGACTGCAGCGTCTGTGGTGGTATGGAGAGAGCCAGGGGCAGCTGGTGTGCCCAGAGGACACGTTAGAACAGCTTTGCAGGCTTCCAGAAGCCATTTGGCTGGCATGAACTATTTGGCCCACCAAGTTTACTGTTCTGTCTGCCCGCCTTCTCCAGCCCACCCTTTCCCTACCGGCCAAGCCCCCCAATGCAGCCCCTCTTGTCTCTCAGCTAACGACACATGGACATCTGGCTGGAAAGCCAGCCCAGAGTGGCCCCTGAGCCCCAGGGATGGTTCCCAAGTGTAAGAGCCACCACGCTGAGCCCAGCCTGATTGCTGAGGCTCTGGGCACGTGGCCAGTACTTAGCGCTGGGCCAGTGCCACCAAGCCTGGGAAGGGAAGTTGGCAGAAGGAGCAGAGTCCAAAGCAGGCTGGGAAGAAATTCACCATGGCCAGATGTGTAGTCAGGGGGCCAGGGATCCCCAGGGGAGAGGCACCTCTCCACTGGACCCCAGGACCAAGTCTCCCGTGTTACATAAGAACAAATACAGGTCCAGAGACTAGAAGGGACTTGCCCAAGGTCACATGGGAGGTTTGTAGAGCAACTAGCACTTAGAACCCCAGCTGACCTTTCCGATGACCTCCGCTTGCCAGGTCCACAGGACAGGAGGGGCTGGTGAAGATGGAAGGCACCCAGCCCCACACATTTGCACGCAGGTCTTTAATTGCAGTTACAGATTTTTGTGGCTGAACTGAAACAGGTGCCTGACCCGGAGTGACCAGGGCAGCAGGGGCAACCCTGGTGGCAGCCTGGCAATGGTGCTGGCCTCCCGCACTGGCTCTCTGCTCTGCCTGAGGGGGAGGGGAGGCCTCCTCTCCAGACACTATTGATTCTGGTAGCGGCAGTTGCTCTGCTAGGTCACAGTGCCATCTAGTGGCTAGCATGCCTGCTCTCGAGGGATGCAAGAGCCTCTGGAGGCCTCAGAGTCAGAGCTTCTTTCTAGAGAAAACCCGGTCCCAACCCCTGGTTCCTATGCATCCCAAACCCCTGCTTACCCAGTTGCCTCACAGCAGCTTGGAATCAGGGCAGTCCTGTGTGGAAGTCCTGAGAACTGGGTTCTCACCCAGCAGAGAGTCTGGCATGGAACCCAAGAGGAGACTGTTAGGGCCTAGAGGTCTGCATTGTCTCTGTGAACCAGGTGGCCCTGGGCACGTCCCTCTGTGACTCTGGGCTCCGGGAACTAGGTGTTTCACAGAGCAGTCAACAGTACAGGGTCTGTGGAAATGGACTCACAGCCAAACCTGAGACAGGACAACAATGACAGTAAGGAGGTAAGCACTCCTTAGAATAATCAACCATTGAGATGAAAAGGGCAGAATTTACTCCAGAACAAAGTTCCGGTGGGCTAGGAAAGAAGGAGGAATGGAAACAGGAAACACAGGAGGAAGTGGGATTAGTGAGGTTACATCCTGGGGATTATAATCATTAAGATTGAAACAAAATGTGTATACATTTTTGAATGGAAAACTGATCTGTTCTGTAAACTTTCACCCAATTCACAATAAAAAGTTAAAAAAAAACAACAATAAGTCTAGAGTTTAGAGCCAGACTGCCTGGAGCACACCCTACATTTCCTAGACCCTCTATCCTGCAATCTCATTGACTCATGGCAAACCCCTTGTGTCTCAGAGAAGGGCAGTGCTCCTTGAGATCTCCAATGGCTGTTCTCTTCTGGAACTAGCTTGCAAGGTCTTTGAGTGGATTTGTACTGCCAACCTTTTGGTTCGCAGCCAAGCACAAACGGTTTGTACCACCTCAGTATTTGTTCTATGTGCAACAGCGGGCAGTCACATAGCTTCTTAGCCTCCGTTTTCTCACCTTTAAAATGGGGGTATTCTGAGACTGGAAGGAGATGAATGTGTGGCATGCCTGGAATTGCCCATTAGGTATAACATTCTCCTCCTCTGAAACTCTGACAGAGAGGGGTGTGGGACTACCTGCTGGACATCTGGGTGCAGGACAGAGAGGGGTATGGGACTCCCTGCTGGACATCTAGGTGCAGGAGCACTGTATAAGCAGAGCTGGGCTGGGTCCTGAGGCACTCTTGTGTCCAGCCCCACTCGGAGCTCATCCCACTTCCCTCCTCTTGTTTGACCCTGCCCCCACTCCCTCCCCAGGAACTCTGCTCACCCTTTTAGGGAGCATCTGTCCAGGCTGCAAGATGATGATTAAAGAAGCCTTAAAAGAAATCTAGAAAGAAAATGAAGGTGGATTTATGATGCCGGGTGGGGAGTTTTGCTGTTGGCTGGGAGCAGTGTGGAACAAAGCAGAGGACAGATCTGATTTATAGGAAGTCATTATCGGAAGAGACGGAGATACTGAAAGTCCAGCTGAGGCCTCCTGGCAGATCCCCTTCAGCAGGCTACAGAGAGGTGGTCAGGGAGCACAGAGTGGGACTTCAGAGCCTCCAAGGTTTGAGGTGGGCACTAGCCTTTGGGCAGGAGCACAGCCAAGTCTGACAACTGGAGAGGCTGAAGTGACAAGCCCTTCAGCCCGGACCCCCAGAAAGTGCTACCCTGCCGAAGGTCCCCAAAGCCCCAGAAAATAAGTAGTGTTTTCCTGGGGTGCCAGATATATTGTCGGGAGGGGATATGGTTTTTTTTGTTAAAATCAATGCAGTTATGGTATGGAACCACATTGCAATTCTTATATGCATATTTTTAATAGAAAACACAAGATTTTAAAAGACGTTTCCAGCCTATGGCTGGCCACTCAGGGCTATATCCCTAGCCTCACCAGGAAAAGCGCTGGTAGAAACATTAAGGCCTGGCGAGGCACCATCACAGTTCCCACCTAAGGAATGTTGACAATAATGCGTATCTTAAGAGTTGTTACAAGATTGGAATGAGAAGACACATATGTGGTACCTGGTACCCAGAACTGGGCCCTGGTGTGGCCCTGTGGTTAATGCACTGGACTGCAAAATCAGTTTGAGCCACAAGGTCGGTGGTTCAGGCTCACCAGCTGCTCCTTGGAAACCATTTACAGGGTCCCTATGGGTCAGAACCGACTCAACGGCACTTAACAACAACACCCAGAACTGAACAGTTGTTATTTAGAGTCATTCCTGCCACCCCTTACCTCTGTCTCTCCCCAGACAGCTTCTTCTAGTCCCTCCCTGCTGGCAGTGGGCGGGGTAAAGGGTGTCTTCCTTCCTGCCCACCTTCCTCCTTCGACACCCTGAAGACAGAGGATCGGCTGGACTGGGCAGCACAAAGGTGGAAATGTCCTTGGCTAATACCTTCCACTCCGTGCAGAGTCCTACCCAGCATCTGGAAGGTGCCCAGAGGCCTTAGGAGTGGCACCACCAGCACCAGCACAATAGGATTCTGTTCTAGAATTTTCTGGAAATCTGGGAGAGAACCCTGTGGCCAACCTGCTCTTTATCCCCAACAACCCGTTCTCTAGTTTCTGTGTGTTCACGCACTGCTCACTCCTCCACCCCTGTGCTTCCCAG